ATACTACTCTTTTTTCTCTCCTCAGGTAAATTACAGGGAGCTTAAAAAGCCTTTGTTTTACAAACACAATCTGTATGTTAAATTCTTCCGGGGTTTTAAATTAGTGTTTTAATCACTGTGGCACATAACTATAACATGCTTTGTTTGAGTCTTATTTCAAAAAACCTGATAAACAGCTTTCTTTGAGAAATCCAAAATTTCTAAGTCTAAAGAGGTCAGACGTAAGGAAGTAAAAACTCTTTTCCCCTCAAAAGAAGATGTAAGACTGCAAAGAGCAAACATTCTCAGACTCTTAGACAATGCTATTTTAATAATACATATAATTTTCATCTTCAGCCACCAGAAACATTTTCATGCATGTCCAGAAGACAAAATATGCAATTATTTCTTTTTACTATGCAATCTGTGAAGATAACTTGTCAAATCAGTTATAGAACCTGTAATACATGTCCACTGAGTGCCATTAGAACTTCCCAAACCAGCGCCACTGTTCCATCTGCTCAGCAATTCCCTTGTATACCAGGGATCAAAAGCAGTTAACACTGCTTATTCTGTACTCAAGGACTTAACTAAACCAGTTCACTAATTTCTTAAGGTTCTTCAACAATTATATGATTTATTCGAATACCGCAGCAAGAATGTATTACAAGCATACACAGAACCTTTGAAAATCGACATAAATTTAGTACTTTTAACATTAGACCTGAAATCCCAAGACCAACCCAAGAGAATTTACAAATTAAGTTAGTGTCTTTCCCTCATTCACTGTTCACACACCAAAAAAAAAGCACACAGCTAAGGAGAGTACCCTTTCCTCAACACAAGTTTACACTGGATCAATACACATATTTAAATACTTTGTAAATAAAATTTCAGTACCATAAAATGGACTATTTCGTAAGAGTTGCTACGGCTATTTTCTTATCTCTTAATTTTACCAGTTATAATAGCTGTGCGTTTCATGTGTGTGTATAAATTAAACCAACGTATTTTTTTAAATGTTAAGTTTTACCAAAATACACTAGAGCATTTTCTCACATGGAAATCTGAGCCCCTGATGTTCTTATTCTGAAACTAGCAAAATACTGTGTATAGTTTTGAAAGTTCATCAAAACAGTGCAAACTCCTGATAAAGACAAGCCAGCTGCTAAACAAATACATTGAATTAAAATACACAACAACCATACCCAACTACTACAACTAAAATACACTATAATGTTAGATGATATTTCCAAGCAAACTGATGCACACAGGCACGCACACATAGCAGATGTGCCCATCAATATTGCACCAACATCTTTAACTATCATCTTCTGCAGTCTTTCGTCAGACCAGGTATACCTATGCTATATCTCAGGCCATCAGCAATATTCTGGAATCTCTTAAGCAAGGCACAAAACATATAGAATCATCGAATGGTGAGGGTTGGTAAGGATCATTTAGTTCCAACCCCCTTGCCATGGACAGCAACACCTTTCACTAGACCGGGTTGCTCAAAGCCCCATCCAACCTGGCCTTGAACACCGCCAGGGATGGAACATTTACCACTTCTTCGGACAGCCTGTTCCAGTGCCTCCCCACTCACAGTAAATAATGTCTTCCTTTTATCTAAACTAAATCTCCTCTGTTCGAATTTTTGAGGTTCACTGTGTTTTGGGGCACTGATCAACTTAACAATAAGCATCTATATTTCCACTGCTGGCACACATCTTCCTTCCACCTTCCATCACTGTCAACCACATTTCCCTTAACTAAACTTTCTGACAAACACTTTTCTTGCTCTACCATAATCAGATCAGGATCTAAGATGAAGAAATTGCTTGCCTGGGAGGAGAGTTCTATAAAGGCACAGAGAGACGATTACCATGGGCGAGACAATCACTTATAGAAGCTGGGTTAATATCTAGCCCATCTACCTTGTGACAAAGGAAAATAAATTATTATAGGTCTGGAAAAAGGAGCATGTAATTTACAGGGTTTAACTTTGTGCCTCTCTTGCCTCTGCAGGTTTGAAACCAACAGAACAGCAACATATGGCACAACTGCTTCATAACAGACTTTGCATAGTCTCCAAAAGTCAGCAGGTACACATGAATGTTGGTGAGCCTCTATAAGGAGCTTTTCATTTCATTTTTCAAATGATGCTTGGGTGAAAGCTGTATGTTTGCACTGAGACCCATTCTGCCAGGCTTGAGTACACTTAGCACCTTTCAGTCAACAGATTCACAATGCAGCTTTTCACTCCCAGTAATAGTAAAGGAGGACTCAACAGAAATCTCCAATGCAGAAAAATCCATTTGTAATAAACTTCTCTGTAAAAAAATCTATGTGGGGAGACAGCATCTTAATAAGACATCAAGAAGAATTTCCATTGCAGATAAATTCACATAAACCCAAATTCCACAGCTTGCTTAGTCAACTTTATGATCGGAAAACAACCAAAGGACTGCTTTACAGAAAGTCCATATTGCTTAAAACTCCCACACGGAGATTTGGCAGTACTTAGCTATCTACATTTTGATTAAAAAAAAACCCCAACAAACCAAACCAAACAAGAATCTAAGTGCCAATTTTGAATAATAACTCCACTGTTAGCAATGTACCAGCCACCTCCACGGCACCTACTACACTCATTTACCAGTCTCCCTATTACCTAACTTCATCCTGCAGTTTATGTAGTATCTTATTTATATTTAAAATGTATAATTTCAGGTGGATGATTAAGGCACCTGCAATATAGCAATATCTGTGCATTTAGCACAATAACAACACAGAGTTCAATACATTTTCCCAGCTATTTTATTTAAACAACACTCAGTGGTTAGCTTCAAAATTTTTTTTATGCCTGTTGCTGTTATTTGCAGAAAATATTCATTTGGAGCCAACCAGTTTTAGGAGACAAACTGATTATGCTACTGTGAATGTGTCTGTATCCTTGAAAAAGAAAAGCAGCTGCAGGAGCAACTCCCGCTTCCATTCTCTACTAACAGAGTTTCTTCTTTCCTGTCTGTGACCTAGTCTCCACAGTACCACATTTAATTACATCACTCATGTGAAAAAAGGGGCAAACAGTATACAGAACACTGATGACAAATCTGAAAAACTGACACTGTTTTTACAGTCCCTTCTCATGTAAAGTACATAGAGCTTTAAACAGTTATTATGACTTAAATCACAAGGGATATTTAAAAGCATAGAATACGAAAGCCTTCAGGCAAATACTTACAAGAGCATCATTAAATTTTCGTCAGAAATGACTACTAGAAGAAGGGTGAGAGTTATGCCAGTGCTCTTAGAATGCAAAATAAGTTAGTAAAGTGTGTACCTATCTTTTCTCCAAGTAAAAAGGGAGCCACTGAATTCCTGCTAGAGTACTGGCTTTTCATAGAATAGTTAGGGTTGGAAAGCACCTTAAGATCATCTAGTTCCAATCCCACCCTAGACCATGTCGCCCAAGGCTCTATCGAGCCTAGCCTTGAACACTGACAGGGATGGAGCATTTACCACTTCTCTGGGCAACCTGTTTCAGTGCCTGACTTTCAGTAACTGTCATTTTCTGTGTTACTTCCAGGCCTACATGGGCAAAAAAAATATAAACTCACTTGATAAATTCTTCTCTGTGGTTTATCATACTGGCAAATTTACTTCAACCATTTTCTCTGGGAACTACTTTCTAATTATTTGCCAAAGAATTAGCCAACTTGGGTGTGACAGACTACTAACACCAGTTCCTGATCCGTTCCAGTGCCTTTTAATAGGTCTGCATATAATAGTGCTGCATAACGCTGTGTAAACACCATTCTGGCTCTAAGCATCTCAGAACAGGTTTTCCTATATGAACATGCAGCTCTATCTAGGAGAGTTTCCCAAGGTATGTTTCGAGCACTTTTTCAAAGGAAAAGGAAACATTAAGTTACAAACAAAATACCTGTTCAATATTTCTCAGCCAAACTACAATACCATTTCCACAGACCACATAAACAAGGCAATTATGATGTTTTGTAGTTTCTTCTTTAGCTCGTCTTCTTGTTGCCTGTACTATCAGCTCCAGACAAGTTACATGCTTATCTTCAGCATGAATGACTGACGGACCAACTTCTAATCATTTAGACTGCTGGAAGGAGCCAGACTATACCTCATGTCAAAACATAGTTTTACCTCATTTTCCTACAAATGCCACTAATTAACTCATTGACCACATCGAAGCTTTCTTTGAAGTAAATAACAGATCCTCCTACAAGTACGGGAACTCCAGTCTGTTGCCCAGAAGGTAAAGTGCTTTGCAGCCAGTGTGCAGAGCCATACTTAAGGGGTAAAATGATAAGCTCTCCGATTAAAGCTGGGGGAAGCCCGCCGGATACTGGCTGTGCCGCCCCATCGCCCCTGAGGTGGCGGTGGAGTCCTGCGGGTGACCCACGGGCTACACAGCATTTTCAGACAACAGGCAAACACACTTCACCACATCTCTAATCCTCTGTCTCCTAAGGCCCTCTCCCGGTATTAGTCCCACACTGAGAACAGCTGTCGGTTTTATCAACTTCCTTAAAGATTTACAGGGAGTTTCCCAGGCAAAAGGAGTCCGTGCACCGGGCGTGAAGCAGTAGGGAGGTTAGCTCTCCTCGGCTTTTTCTCCAGCGGGCACCGCCAGCGAAGCGGGCCCTGCCCAGGCTGTCACCGCCAGGCCCTGCGATGGGCACCTGTAGAATACACACTGGTGGCCCGCTGTCACGGGCTCCCGCGCCGCTGCCGCGGAACGTCGCTCGCCCCGGGCCGGCGGGGGGAGCGTGGGGATGATGCCACTCACTGCCTCCTCCGCCCGCGGCTTTGTTCGCAGCGCAGCCCCGCGCCAAGACCCCGCAGCAGGCACATGCCGCCGCCCGGCCCTGCTGGCTGACCGGCTGGCTAGCTGGCTAGCTGGCTGGCTGGCTGGCTGGCTGGCTGATCGGCTGACCGACCGCTCTCCCCAGCCTCCCCGCAGCCGCGCCGCCACCCCCTCGTACCTTGGCTTTCCCAGCCTCCAGCTTCTTCAGCCTCTCCTCGTCCTCCATAGCGCCTAGTGCGGGAGAGCAGAGTGTTACCGGCGACGGCAGGCGGGGCCCACCCCGCCTCTTCCCCTCAGCCGGGGCGCACACTCTCGCTGCGCTGTCCAGTCCCGCCTCACAGCGACGACAGCTGCTGTGGCGCGGCAATCGGCGCCGCCATCTTCATCCCACGTAAACACGCGGCCGGGGAAAGTGACGTTGCGGCAGCCTGGCCCTCCTCCTGCTCCTAGCCTCGGCCGCTGCGAGCGCCGCCGGTGCCTGCGGTCAGACAGAAATGCCCTCCTCACCCCTCTCCCAGCGCCATGGGCTTCCACCCCGTCCGGCCCAGCGGGGCCACGCACCTGCGGCGGGACAGAAGGACAGCCGCGGTGGAGGGGGTACCGGCGGGCACACCCCTCTCCACAGCGCTGCTCGCTCCTTCAAACAGAGGGGCGGGGGGCTTTCTCCTCACACAAAAGAACTACATCATCGAGACGCCTGTAATTTGCTGTGGATTTGATGCAAAGGGCTGATCAGGCAGTACCTGAGTTGTGTTGGAGAGCAGCCTTCTGCTGCCTCGCAAATCCAGCCTTGCTGGCTACAACGCTAATTTTGACAGTTTTGGTTTGCTAAGTGTTTCCTTGCTCCTGCGTGGGGCTCACTAAATTGCAAGCTTCCTACAGCGTGGGTCTAAAGCTTGGAAGTAAAAGCACAAGCTTTCTGAGCGTGGGTCGCAGGCTATGTAAGGATGACAACAAAGGATGTGTAGCCCTCTCCCCCCTCCCCTTTAAATTACTTAATATGCACCCATCGTGCCAGAAATAGGTATGTTAAAATCACAGTGAGGAATATGGCACGTGGCAATTAAATGCTAATACAATTTATATACTTCAGCATTCGGTACAAAGCAGTATTTTGGGTTTATTTAGTATTGTCTGCTACATGTGTGCCTTGCAAGGCTAATAGCTGTATTCCATGTTATATTGTGCTTTTTCTTTCAGCTACCCCTGAAGTCGGTTCCTTTTGTGATGGTGTGATAGATGGCACAGGCTTACACATTCTTGGCAAGGCTTTTGCTTTTTTTTTTTTTTTGTTAGTGAACAGCTGCATGTGAACAGAATCCTCATTCTGCATTTGGAATCATTCAGCTTTAGTATATGCAAAATCTAAAAATCTTTCTGAATCAACTTTCAGTCAACTGAATCATCTCAGCTGTGCTGATCCTTTGAATGCAGTTCATTAGTATACATTCTTTCCTTGCTTGAATTTTCCAGCAAAGACTGCACACACCCAAAACAGAATAAATGCCAAAAGAAAACATTATTTGCACAGTATTACTGACCAGGGCCAAGACGGAAAATATTAGGGCTTCTAGCAGCATAATTCCACAGCCATATTACTGTCAAAGTAAACTAAACCTACAACTTGGAATTTTTAAGGATTTTTCCACTTCTAAAACACACTGCATTTCATGGGAAAGTCTGAAATAATTTGCTGATCAGTACACATAGTGTGCATTCTTGTATTTAGAAAACCATGTCCTCAACCTTTAGTTAAAAATAAATACCAGCTATGTCAAAAGAAGAAAACATCATCAATGGTAGGGAATGAGAATGGTCTCTATATACTTTGTTCCATACCTGAAGCAAACATAAGTTTCAGTTAAAGTTCTCTCAGTCTTTGCTATTTCAGTAGAGGAAAAGCATGTATAGAGTAAAGCAGCAAATTAATATGAAATTAAGAATTCATTAAAGATGAAATGTTTTTATAGAAATCCAAATTTATTTGAGTTCATTCCTTAAAAATATGTTCTCAAGTCAGTAAAAGGAAGTACATCACACAAAGCCTGTCCAAATGGAAGTTTTCCCCAGCAATTACAAAGGCATAGAGGCCCCTGAGGGAAAAATAAATTACCTTTTCTGTGTCAGTGACATTCCTCTTGGCTGATGGAGGCCACTATCAGAGAACTAGCTGTTAGGTGTCAGTAAAATTTCATACATGCATGACACTGTGACACTAATTTCTTAATCAGTAAATTTCCCATTTAAAAGATAATTACAGACTTCCCAAATCCCATAATTAAATGGGTTCTTGAGTTAATGATAAGAATCAATGGGCCTAATTTACCTCTCACAGACTTATATCCATGTAATTCTAATGGATTTTAGTTAAACACCTAATTCATGACAAAGAACATAATGAAAATCAGACTGACAAACTATAATAGAGCACTGTGGAAATTACTACTGGATAAAATATCCCAGGGAATAATATGTCCATATTCTCTCAGTGTTAGAAAAATAGGACTTTTTCTCCTAGGAGTCAAAGAAAAAAAAATAAAAATCCTACAGTATGATTTCCTACTTAAGCTATTTAAATTCCCATTTTATAATTTTTGCAGGCCGAGCTGAGTGGAATTCACAACTTGGTTAGTCAAGTAAACTACCAGTTACAGAAAGGCTTTAATCTTGCTTTCTTAATGCTCAGAATTGGCCAGTAACATTCATTTGCCTAAGAATGTGAGACAGTGTACAAGAGCCAGGCTAACAGCTGCTTTAAAAATTGCTTAACTTTCTAACACTCATTGAATTCAAATAAGCTAAATATGGGTAAACTGCTTTCAATAGCAGCATATGTGAAGTGAACCAGATTAACAAGGTAAAGAGTATAGATCGGACATTCTCCAAATTAGGAATGACTGGTGTTTTGGCTTATTTTTATATACCAATGTATTGATTATTGGAAATGTTCATACAAAACTGCACTGAACCAGCTTTGACTATCAGACGTAGTTTTTAGTTGTGTTTGTCTGCAAATAAGAACAAAGTCCTCTTCACTTACAGCATTTTCTCTAACAATGAAACTCTACCTTCTTCCTACCACTTCTGTTTCCTTTCTTCACTGTTCACTGGAGATATGCCTGGTGACTCTCGCTGTGGCACTTTAGTAGACTGCAAAGCCAAAAGATGGGTCCTAAAGATCACGTGTGATAAAGTCATGAAGTTCTATTTATAAAATCCAATTTCTGACCTAGTCCACTGAAGTGAGATGTCAGATCATAATGTGCTGCTGGTAAATTGTATGTATAAGTAAGATGCAAAAATTCCAAAATATCACAGGCCTAAATTGGTGATACAACCTCTTCCAACAGCTAAGGAGCTCAGATATTGTGTGTTCTCAGGTGTCATAACTATCAGCAATACCACTTAGATAATGCGAACGTCCAACAATAATTTATGTCCTTCAACAAAAAATATGTATTAGAATAGAAGACACCTACATGAACCATGAAAGATTCCCTGAACCAGTTTGTAAAAAACAAATATTACCTGACAAATTTACCTCTGCCTTTGCCCCAGTGCTGTGCCAGCTCTGTCCTTGCCTTCTGCCCTGCAGCTGCACTGAGCATTGCTTTGTGCTGCAGTTTCCCCGAGTGCTGCTTTGTTGGCATGGTTGCAGCAGGCAGGTGGTTTAGGTAAAATGTGGGAAGTTCATCATTCAGGGACCCTTTGTAGGTACTGCTGAGGGAGGATTACCAAATCAAATTAATTTGCTGTTAGCAAGTGCAAATCAACTCAAATTTCAGGTAGAACCTGGCGTATTATATTTACATGGTCTGACAACATGTTATAAAAACATTTTTTAAGACTCCAGTCACTTTCACCTCAGGGATTTTTTGAGGTATATTGTTTATGTCAGTTTATGAACTATGTTTTAGAAACAGACAGATGTTCTCTTCTTCAAAGCAGGGCACAACAAATGCCGTTACAGAATAAACAGTAAGGCTTGGTAGTTAAGTAGGTGAGCTAGAGATATAAGGAAAACATGATTTAAAGAGCTTGCTGTGGTTTTTTTGTTTCATTTTGTTGTCTTTTAAGAATGAATGGAAAAGCATGGTTGTATGAAAAAAATATTAATGGGGCAACTGATGAATATATATACAATCAAGGTCCCATGTAACACCTAACATTTCTATAATCTTGTATGTTTTTTTAAATGAAAAAAGGACCAAAACCTATGAAGCTTTCATTAAGCATGCATACTGAAGATGAAAATAGAATGTCCCAAGGGGAAACAGTTACCAAAAAGTGTAATTTTTAACCTATACCTGCAGCTATCAAGTTAGACAAATTTATATAAACCATTGCTAGCAGTGTCCCACCAAACATCTGCTTTCTGTCACTAGTCAGCATGCATTTTTTTTCCGAAATTGAAATAGGTTTTGTTGAGTTTTGTTATAACCGGTGACAGAAGAAATCAGGCATTAAAATATTCCACCCAAATACGTGATCCAGGCATTCACTAATACATGAATAAATGTGGGCTTACTAACATGCTTCAGTCACACACACTCAAGTCCAGCACACAAAAGTGTATTTCTTATTTCCAAAACCAAAAATTTATCTTTTGCTGAAAAGACAGTAAGATAACTCAAAGCTGTAAAGCATAGACCTCTGGTGCTAGTACAATAACACATACCTCCTGGAGATGTGTGTCTTTGTTTTCTGAATCCCAGAGTTGTATAGCTTACAGTTTGACAAATTGTAAGCTCCATGTATCTTTTTTTAGGTATACTTGAGTCTATTCCTCATCATTTAATTAAGTAAGACAAATACTGTGGTGCTTGTTTGTTGCCTTGATGTAAATACTGTGGCTAGGAAGAGGCAAGACTCTTCAGCCAAGTTTTGTGAGATGAATTATTTATTCTGCAAGCATAATATATTGAGAAAAGTAATATAAGTGATCTTGCAACTACTACAACTAATTAATTAACCCAGAAGCATCAAATTGGCATTTGATATTTGAGGAAAGCACAAAAAAAATAATTCATACCATAAATCAGATATATTTATGCCATAAATCTGATAGATTTGTGTCAGATGTATATAGAGCTATTATAGGTCACACTTCTTTGTAACTGGTCAGATTATCCAAGTTTACATAAAGGCTCAGTGTATGATTCTCTTCTGCCTACTGCATATGAAGGTATAAAAGTTAGTTATTTTCTTGCTGTTCTGGTCAAGTGTTATTCATGGAACTCCATTTAGAATGTGGAAGAATTTACAGCACAATGTTTCAGCAGAATACCAGTTTATCAGTTATGAACATGCTGCTTTTAAATTTATCCAGACTGTTGACCTGGCAGATCAGCATTCCCCATATCTTTTTATTTTAGAAATTCCAGAATTTCCAGTGGTGTCTGAG